CTCAGAGGAAATGTCTTGTATAGAAAACTGTCTTTATGCAATCTTCCCTAATCTGTATAAGAACCAGTCTTTGCATAAAAGGCTGCTTTTCTTCTTATTATTATTTTATACATAATACATATTTGTAAAGAATAGAACTTCTCTTTAGGACAATGTATAGAACTGCAACATAAGCTCTTAATTATATTATTGTATCTCTTCATGAAATGAAAAAAGTAATTTTTTCAGCTTTGCCTTAAAGATTTTAAAAAAGATTGGAAACTTGCTTTTTGGCTACAGTGGTATACTGGCTAGGCTTCCCAATAAGCAGTTCAGCATTTTAGCTATTGACATGTTTGTCATAAGAAGGAGGAGAGGAAATATTATGAAGGAATTGAAAGCTCCCAAGCATTTGCTTGATATTTGTAATAAGGACAGATTCCACAGAGTTCCTTCATTTACTCTTCGAAATAAATGAAACCAATTGCTGTTTAAAAATAATAATCATAATAGAGTGTCTCAGTGCTGTACTGCTTTTGTAATGCGTTGAGATTTACTGTGGTCTTCTCATTCCACTGAGGTATTTTAAAGCAATTCTGCAGTAAGTATGGAAATACTTTAGAAGAAATATTAGACCTCAGGAGGCTCAGCATTTTTATTACATTTATTCAGCTCATCATGAAGGGAGATCTAGTGCCAATTTCTGAAATCCAGAAAAATATGTCATAATATTACTTTTTGGTTTTGGTATTGATTCAAACCAATTACCTGTGTGCCTAGGTATTTTGAAAGAAACAATGGCTGCAATGCAAGGGAACCATAACATGGGAGGGGGGGGACGGGGACGACGACAACCAAATCATACCAAAGTAGCTTCTATTTTACCTGTTTTCCTCAGGATTTCTTCCTCTCCATATTACCACTGAGTTTCTGAAGATGGCTTTTTTACATAGAATGTTAATCAGTAACACAAATGTAAATCTTTACCAAAAAAATGCTCAAAAGTAAAAGAGGTGTTTTATGTTGTCTTACTGGTATCTAGACACATGCTGCTTCCTGCAGAAGGTGACTAGGTGTCTATGTGGGGACGTAACCCCACTGTTTCTTTACAGCTGTTGTATACCTTTGAGCTCTGCTGAGGATCTGTGAGAAAAGCTGCAAAGACTTTGTAGATAAGATCATGAGGACAAGATGCAGTTTGTCCTCCTCGCTCTAGGTAAACTTAGGTACCTGATTCTTCTCTAACGTCCTCTTTGCACAGGAATCCAGAGGAAACTTCAAATTCTGAAAGGTCTGAACTTATATGCATATGCATCTTGTAATTGTATAGGAATAAACAAGACTTTCGGTGCAATTTTGGATTCTGATTGCTCCAGGTAGTGTTAGCTTTAGCAACTGGGAAGCTTATTTCTATTGTGCTGCCTGTTGTTTTGTCAGGCGATGCTGTGGTAATGTAGCTTTGAATGCAGCGCAGGTGAGAGGAGAGCTGGGCAAGCCTTGTGAGTCCAGGACTAGGGATCTTGACAGAAGACTTGGTCTGTTATTCTCACCTGTGGTGAGGAAGTGGATCAACAGTAGTGCAGGTGGACTGTCTGGACAAGAAGGCTCAGGGTAAGGAATGGGAGGTAAGGAAGAGGAATTACCAAGCTGTCGGTATTTGAAAGGAAAATTGGGGTGTTAACACCTCTCTCCCTCTGTCCTTGAACTTATGGATAAGAAGTCAGAGGAAAAATCAGCAGGACCTGAAAGGAGGTTGTAGCGAGGTGGGTGTCAGTCTCTTTTTCCCAGGTAACAAGCGATAGGACAAGAGAAATGGCCTCAAGCTGCTCCAGGGCAGGTTTAGATTGGATATTAGGAAAAATTTCTTCACCGAAAGGGTTGTCAAGCAGGATCAGACCTGAAAGGAGGTTGTAGCGAGGTGGGTGTCAGTCTCTTTTTCCCAGGTAACAAGCGATAGGACAAGAGAAATGGCCTCAAGCTGCTCCAGGGCAGGTTTAGATTGGATATTAGGAAAAATTTCTTCACCGAAAGGGTTGTCAAGCACTGGATCAGGCTGCCCAGGGAAGTGGTTCAGTCCCCATCCCTGGAAGTATTTAAAAGATGGGTAGATGTAGCACTTAGGGTGGACTTGGCAGTGTTAGGTTTACAGTTGGACTCAATGATCTTAAGGGTCTTTTCCAACCTAAATGATTCTGTGGTTCTAAGATAGGGGCAGGAAATATTTCAGCTGCAAGATTAGGACCTGGCCTCAGTTTTGAAGTGAGGCAGAGACTGTCTGCCCCTGTGTGAGGGGGAAAAACAGTGCTGGGAAAGAAATAGGAGTAGGGCATGAGGCAGCAGAAGGGAGAAGATCCTGCCTGTCGGAGCACAACCTTCTCTTCATAGCTGGAGATGACTGTTGGCCGATTTCTTTGTAATCTGCTGATACAGTCTTCCTCTCCTTCAGTGCTGTTCTACCCACAAGGTTATAGACTGTATCTGTTGACTACTCACTTTCCTAGCCTCATGTTGGGTTCATGTAAAAGGTTCCAGTATCTTACATAAAGTCTTACAAGAGCATCCATATGATACTATCTAATTTAATGCCTTTTTAATCAGTTTATTGTTTGCAAAAAAAACCTGGGAAATTAATATTTTATTAAAAACTTAATGTAATTTTTAATGTTGTGAAGTCAACCAGCCAAGAAATATGAGGTTTGCCAGTTAAAAACACAAAACCAAAACAAACCACCTTAATTTCAGACATGCGTTGTGTGCGTTATCATGAGCTTTTACCAGACTTCCTTCGTGTACTGGACGTGGCTCACATGCTGCAACTTATATATGTTCTTGCTTGTTCAACAGGAATCTGCATCTCTTATTAATTGCACACTCTTCAAAAGTAGTCTCAAAAGTTCTCTAAAGATATTAATAGTTCTGTGGTGTTCAGGGTATCTAAATGCGTCTTCCATATTAAAGAATTTGTCTACAAAATAGCTTTTGAGATGTGTGATAGCATTCCCGTTTTAAATATGTGAAACAGAAACAGACTTCTGAGATAAAATGTATTTATAGATTTGAGGCAGTTATTTAGGACCTAAATATTTTGGAGCATTGTGCAGCATTCCCTGTGTTCGGGGTACATTTCACACTGACTTCAGGTGTGGGCTCTGAAGTTAGACACCCAGAAACTGAGAAGAAAAAAATGTTACTGTAAAGTTTTATTACAAGTGACCTGCTGTGCATCTGTGGTATAGATAGAGACAGGATCCTGTTCTGGGTACAGCTTTTGATTACTTTTGCCATGAGATCTTCCTCCTTATTCCTGCCTTTCCAATTTCTATCTTCATTTTCAGTGTGCATTCCAACTTCAGAACATAAAGAAAACAGTCAGTGGGAGCTTCTTTGATCCTCCTGGCAGATCTATCTAGTAACACTGAAAAATTTGGGGAGGTTGTGTAGAAGCATGATGTATGATGGTATGATGAATGTGTTTTGTATATGCAGAAGCAGCTGAAACAAAGATAGCTTACTTAATTCTGGTATTTCCTAACTGCAGGTGCTTGGAGACTGCAACTTTATTGCAGTTTATTGTTAGGGGTGATTTACAGAGGTTCTGGGTTTCATGGACTTGACTATTTGCAAGTAAAAATAGAAAATATACCTTGATCCAAAATAAAAATGGGTAAGGGAAGCCTTATGAAGCTTGGCTTATATTCCACATATTTTTCTACCAACCTGAACTTTAAAAATTGTGTATGCTAAAGTGTTCTGTATGCATACATAAGGTTTTTGAATACTGACCTGTTTAATCATTCTTGGATTTTCTTACAAATAAAAACATTTCTTCCTACAGGTTATTTTTGGTTCTTACCTTTCCAATACAGATGAATTCCTATTGGAAACTGATCATAGACAACCTTACAAAGTTTTAGAATACCAAATGAAATTTTTTTACTAGGAGTTTTAAGGAAGTTGTTGTGTCTTAGTAGAAGAATTCAGGAGTCATGAAATGAAAAAGGTGATGCAAAATTACCATGGTAGTCGTTAAAAGAAACTTTTTTGCCTGTCTTATGACTTCCTTAGGACCTGTGTACCTACGGGCAGGCTCTATGTTTAGTGTTATAAATGTGGAGAAGTTGGTGGGAGCTAACGTGCGTCAGGTTATACTCATCTGCTTCTTATAGCTGCAGAGCTGCACAAAGGAAGCTGCTAATAAGCCATAGGAATTTGTGAGTAGTTGCATAGTACGCTAAATGTAGGCTGCATAACACGCGTACCATATTGGTGTTTCCATTATAGAGCTAATTAAAGTGGTTTGAGGTGACTCTCAAGTTCAGGTGCAAAGGAATACTCTTCTGGAAATGCTTCTTTGATAATTTTGTGTACATTTTTGTTGATCTGTTGGGATATTATTTGTTTTGTTGATGTTCTCTGCTAGCATAGTGCCTGTAAGTAATGTTTTCATTTTCTCAGTTTATGTAAATGTTGATGCTTTATACAAATAAGGGCTGGGGGCTTCTCCCCATGAGACTGCCTGTCCCAATAAGTCTACTTTTGATGGGGAAGTGATCAGAATCTGTAATCATAGTCTATTACTTGGCTTAGCACTTCTAAACTTTCTAAGGAATACAATAATAACTTTCTAATAGAGGATTGAACAGGCTCATTTGAATTCTGACATAAGTGGTTTGGAGGGTGTGTGTGTGTGTGTATATAGTTTTATTAAGCATTTTGAGGGTCTAATATTTTTCTGCATATACTTTTTCTTTACATTTCAGAACTAGAGCTATACTTAAGTAAAAAAAAAAAAAAAGGAAGTGTAAAGAAGGTGTAGGTATTCTTTATTCTTTTATGACTATGTGGCAAAAAAAGGCTTCGAGAGTGGTGTTCCATGTTTACATTCATGTATTTCTCTCATTTTAGAAGAACAGCTTAAAAAGTTTTTAATAATTTTTACATAATATAATTACTGTTTTAAAATTATTGTTTCTTGCTGAACAGATAAATGCAACTCAGTTTTCAGTACCTGAATAGACATCATGTCTCGAGCACGGCAGCCCCCACTTGTAACTGGCATCTCTCCCAATGAAGGCATCTCATGGACAAAAGTGACAATTAGAGGAGAAAATCTGGGGACTGGGCCTACAGACCTCATAGGTAAGTTGGGGGAAAAAAAACCCCAAAAACAAAACAAAAAAAAACCCCACGACACAACCTTCTTTTGAGACTGTAGAACATCACATTTAGGATATGATTAGAGATAACTTTTTTTTTTACATGGTATAAGGAATGCCCTTTTCACAATTATGTGCTCGAATCCATAAGTTCAGGGATGCTGCCTGATGTGTAACCAGTCAGAATGACCATACTTTGCTAGATGAACCCTTAGCGTGGCTAAACATCCTGTGCTGAACACTAGCCTGAACAATGAATGCCTATGGGAGCGTACTAGAAGAGGGTAGATATAACAAAATGCTCCTTTGTTACTTTCCTAGGCATTGAGAATTTCAGCATGGAGATTTTCCTATCAGAAGCGTTAGCAATGTTCAGTGACTTTCTCAATACATTGAAATTCCTTGAATTAGTGTAAAAGTCAATTTGTGTATCTGCAGCAGTTATGACAAAGCGCGTTCAATGATATAGCTACACGTTATGCGAAGAACCATTTCCTTCACTGTTTTGATTTTAACATGGTAACTTCATTTGAATCATCATAGTTCTTGCATTGAAAAAGGGAACAAGCAGTTTTCTCTGATTCTTCTGACCATGCAGATCTTGATCATCACTGCTCTGTTGCCTCTTTTCCAGGCTGAAAAGTCCTAGCGTATTTAAATTTTCTGCATATATCTTTAACCCTTCTTGTTGCTCTTCAATGAATCTCTTTTGGTTTCACTGCCAATGATGGGTGAACAACATCTTGGTTACATGCAGTGTTCAGGATGTGAATGCACTGTGGCATAATACTGTACTCTCACTTTTGTTTTGCATTTCTTCCGTAGGATTCCATTTTCCGTGTAACTCCTACTAAGCATTGAGCTAATGTTTTTTTGTTATTTTGCCTGTTCGAGTCCCATGATTTAATGCTCGAGGGTTAGCAGTCAGTTTGAGCTTGTAATCTATGAATTTAAGGTTTTACCTGTGTGCATCATATCTTTATTGAATTTCAGCTGCTGTTTTACTGCATCTACATTATAGTGCATCCACTCAGTCTCATAAGGTCTGTCCTGCATTTTTTCTAGTTTTTACGGCCTTTACATTCTCAATAAATTAATATCATCAGAAAACTTTAACCTCTTTATCTTGTCATTTATGAATGTATTGAACATAAGCGATTCCAGCACATACGCTGTGGAAACTTTCCTCAGTGAGAACAAACCATTTACTGTAACCCTGTTTCTATCTTTTAACAAGCTATTTATCCACTTGAGGATCATATCCTATAGCTGCTTAATTTTCTTAAGCCTTTTGAGAAGGACTTTGCAAAATCTTCTGGAAATCCAAGTTAACTATAAGTACTGGAATTTCCCTTATTTCTTTTGTAAGTTAAGCATATGTGTATTTCAGGATTCATGTTAGAGGCAATTTATCTAATTTGTTGTGGAATCATGACTCCTCTGAAGTCCATTGGAATTTTGTTTGGCTTTGCTAGAAACAATATTTCACTTCATGGCTGTAAACCAAGATTCCCAAATTCCATTCTTGGCCACCACAATGAACTTCATGGCCAAGCATAAGCTAATACAATTTTCCCCCTCACTTGAGTTTGCTGTCTCTCGAAAGAGGAAGTAGTATTTTCCTGAGCTGCTGGACAAGGTTGCGGTACACCGATGAATCTTTATTGAGAAATAATCAAATAACTGGTGGTGTTATAGGTGAGTATATTTCAGTGTATTTGTGTGGCTGATGTACTTTGATGACCTCATTAGTTCATTGATATGATCCTCTTAGAAGTGATCGGTGCTAGATTCTTCAAAGGAAGACATCTCCTGAACTGTGCCTGAGTATTACAGCTGATTAACTGCTAATATTTTTTTCTCCTTTTTTTTTTTTTTTTAGAGTAACTCTTGTAACACATAGCTGCTAATAATCTCATGCTTTTGAGGCAAAAATAAAAAAATAAATAATGGATTGCCTTATTTTTTTTCCTTAGCTCAATTCTCAGTTGTCTCCAGTAAGTGACTAAGGCCCCAGATATGTAAAGATTTCTTTTCATGGTTAAATTGGGCATGTAAATATTCCCTGTGACTTGAATGGAAATACTTGCAAAAGTGAGCCTTTGTAGGCATGAGATTTAAGCAAGTTTGAGTGAGGTTTTTATAAAGTTTATAGTCTGCTATTTGAGATGCATTAGAGTAAAATGAAAAGCAAGAAACTTTTCTTTTACTGTATAAACAGAATATCACATAATAGAAGAATACGCCTTTTCGTTTCATTTAAGAGAGCCTTCTTGTAATCTATTTGTATCTTTGAAACCAAATAAGCTTTTTATTTGTAACCCTATAGCTCATGGTACAAAAAGCCAAATCCAGGAGATACCTGCAACATTTATGCTCTCAAGGTTTAGTTTGTCTTTTAAGACATTTGCAGCTGTATTTTGTAGGCATTGTAAAATTGTCACTATATAAGCTTAAACAAAATTGGAAACTCGCAATAAGAGAATTACTTGTGCCTGTTTACTGAAAGGCACATAAAAGCTAGAACGCCAGTATGATGTTCTCAAAGATCTTTGTACCATGCAACAGATTAAAATGAAGTTTTATTTAAAGGGAAGTTCTCTCTTTTTTTGAAGAAAATATATTGTATCTGTACTATCAAAAGGCCTCCCCCAACATGCCTTTATTTGTTTCAGAAATTGTCTTGTGCCATTACTATATTTAGTGTGGTATATACAATGTTAATAGAGACTTACTTTCTTTTGCGTTTTTAAGATACAGATAAGGGCTGTTTCCCTCCATTTCAGAAGTGTCAGATTTTGTGATCTTGTTCTCTTGAGAGCTTTAGGAACCTCCAATGAGAAGAAAATAATTGATACAATTTAAAACAGTTGTTCAAAAATGTTTACCTTACTAAATTGCTATAGCTCAGATATTGATTTTAAAGTATTACTTAATGTCAGCATGAATTCAGACCTTTGAAATTCTACAGTGAAAACCTCTTTATGAATGGTTCAGACAAATTCTTTTAGTTAGTTCCTACCGCAATCTTTTTTTCTTCAGAGAAGTTACTAGCATAAACCCAAAAAAGATGTAGTAATATAACCTAAGGTTAAAACCCATGCATCATAAATGTGTGGTTTTTCTTCCCCTCTGAAAAATAAAAACTGGCCTGGTTAAAATGTTGCAAATAAATAACAACCAAAATTTTATTTTATTTTATTTTAAAGCTTTTTTTTTGTGCATGTATCCTATTTCGCCCCTCCCCCCTTTTGTTCAGGCATCTTTTAAGAAACAAATGTACTGTCCTTGCTCAAGTAAAATTGCCTTCAGTTGTAATAAGATTCAGTGCCTTTCTGGTTTTTATTTTTTTTGGTTTGTGTTTTCAAAATAGTTTTTGGCAGGGAGTGAGGCATTTTTACGTCTGACAGCCATGAAAACTGCCAAATTTGTCTGCTGTGTAATGTCAGAGACTTAAATTGTGAGAAAAAGTAAGTGTGAAGCTTTGGTGCTGAGCCACATATGCTGACCCTTTTCTGTCTGTAAGTATTTTTTAAATTGGTCAGCTTTCTAGAAATGAAAAACAAAAGCCAAGCCAACAGGGGAGTTATACTCCAGTACAGCCAACACACTAGTACGGCCTTGTCCTTTTGGAAATGTTTCTAGGTAAGGGTGTTATTTAAGAAGAACCTAATGAAGTTGTTCTCCAAATTGATACTATAGAAATTAGGATCTTGCCAATTCTTCAGGACAACAAAACTCTGATTAGGAATGTGGGAATTCTTGTTCTCGATCTGAGAAAACAATCCATCTATTCCAGCATCAGGAGTCCTGATCTGACTAGAATCGATTGGATTGATCAGTCAGATTGATCAGTTGGTCAGACTGATCTGACATGAAGCCCCAGGAAGCCTTGGATCTTGCGTTAAGGTGTACCTTGACTCTTAAGTGTTAAGAGGTGTTCTTAAACACTAAAGCGTGACATATTTTAATACGCCACAGTCTTTTCCTACAAGAGAGCTTCGTGACTAAAATATATGTTGTATTTTTATTTCATAGTTTGTCATTTGTACTTCTGTTATGAGAAAGTTTAGGAAAGGAAATAGATGAACATTACGTGGTTATTCATTCATACAACAAGGGCAGTTTATTCAGCAGAATCACAGTCTTGCATCATGGATTTTGTACAGAAGAGACTGGGACAGAATATTTGTCAATTAATACTTTTTTTGGCCAAAAACCCCTTCTGTGTCCGCAGAAGTACTGCTAAACAAAGAAGGTTGAAGAAACCTTGTTCATTGTGAATATTTTGCAGAGTTTATTTTTTTGCTATGCGGAGTCACACAGAGTGAACTTAAAAGATTTTTTGGCATGCAGTTTTGATGGAAGTTTCACGTAAGTACAGTACTGAACAGTAGTTCTCTCGTGTCTTGCAGACAGAAGATCTAGTGTTCAACATGAAGTACAAGTTGCAGTAGCCTGTAACTGGTGGAAGAGATTAAAATAAGCTTCGAGCAGCACTGTGTGTGTCTCATGCAGTGGCACTAGGACAAAAGACCTGAAGTCACCTAGGGAACATCTGAAAAACATATTCATGATTGTTTCACTGTAGTTGGCTGTAAGGGACTAGAGAAGGGTCATATATGTATGTAAAATATGTGAAGCATCATAAATGTATTTGCATTACAGAATTTCAAAAGATACTTCTGTTCACAGTAGGGTATTTCTTTTTTTCTTCAGGTTTAACAATCTGTGGGCACAACTGTCTGCTAACTGCTGAATGGATGTCTGCCAGTAAAATTGTGTGTCGAGTTGGACAGGCTAAAAATGACAAAGGAGACATTATTGTTACTACAAAGTCTGGTGGCAAAGGAACTTCAACTGTTTCCTTCAAACTGCTTAAACCTGAAAAAATAGGTATTTTTCATGTTCAAATTCACATCTGTTTTCTTTGCTAAACAAATATATGACTGAGTGCCTCTTTAAATAAAATGCATGTTTAACATGGATCCAACTCAGGACAATCTTCAGTTGTCTAGAAAAAGCAGAGTATACCAATAAAATGGGCAAATATATATATAGATAAACTCATGGTGTATGTGAAATTAATCCTCTCAATATCCTAATAAAACCCCCAATGACTAATGAAAGGTAGCCCTTTATTTTTCTGTAAGGCGTAGCACTAAACTTCTAAAAATTTAAACAAAAAAATTCATAACGGATCCAGTAATTACTCTTAAGTGTACTAGATAAATACAAAATATAAACCAGCTCATGAGCTTTACACCTAAATCCTGAGCTGATGGTTAATCCTTTAAAGAAAGCTGAGTCCTCAGTGCAGTTTCTTATTTCTAATTCAATCCATCCTGCAGGATGAAAAGTCTTAAGTATTTCTCATGAGATGCTTAACCACTAAAATGATGTTGCCAAGCAGTCTAGGGCCTCTGCTTAATCTAGAATCCAGTCTAAATACCCTCTGGATTGAAAATGTTTTTTTTTCAGAACACCTCCATTGATGAAGTTGGCTAGTTATCTTTTCTAACATAGGGGTTCCCACAAGAACTATTTTAGGCTTTTGTTCTCTGCGGTTCAGTGACAGTTAAATAACGCATGATTTCTTCCAGGCTGTACTAACATCTTAATATAGAAAGGTGAATCAAGTGCAAATGTTACACAGTGAGGCTTTTGGTAATGGGAGAGGATTGATATTTTAAAAAATGGGGGTGGGGATGGGGTAATTTCTCATGTTGGGTATCTGATGGGTATGTTAAAGAAGGACATGGCCAAGAGTATGGCTGGCTGCATCTTTAGCTAGGGCCAAGACCTATTGTGCCTCACCTTTATGCATTGTCTGTGCTAAGGCTTTGGAAACAAAGTCAGTCCTGTGTCCATTGAGTCATCCATCTTGGCATGTGGCCAAAGTTCACTTACTTCTTGGTTAGTGAGTGGCACAGAAAAGGGAGCTTCCCTAAAATATGCAAATAAGACGACCTCCAGCTAATTTCTCATTTTGAAAGTAGTAGATGGCAAGGTTTGGACAGATACCAACATACTTGCAGGAATGAAAAATACTAATACTCTGTGACCAGGAAAATGCTCTTAATGTACACGAAACCGTGCACTCTGTAAGAGGTAATGTTTGATGCCCAGCCATGAATACCTTTTCAGCAGCTACAATAAAATAATTTAGCATAATTGCATCCAGGTTGTTTTGCCATGTATCTTCCAGTATATTACCTAGGCATGCATTTTATATTTATCAGGATTTTTCAAATTAATTCAGTATGTTAGAAGTTGATGGTGCTGGACCGCCCTTGTTGTTTTAAGGATCTGTGCTTTGTTTTCTCTAGGTATCTTGGATCAGTCTGCTGTCTGGGTGGATGAAATGAACTATTATGACATGCGCACCGATAGGAACAAAGGGATTCCCCCCTTGTCCCTACGTCCAGCTAATCCGCTTGGTATTGAGATAGACAAGTGAGTACCAAATGCCTTTAATCCACTTTTTTAGTGGTTTTATCTATATGTGCGTTTGTGAATTCCAGAAAAGTTTAACGGTTTACAGGGCAGGGAAAGATTTAAAAATACATAAATATATTAGCTGTTGGTATGCTATTTGGTACTCAAAAGAGTTGTTGGTGCACGTTCTATCCTGCTTCATAATCCTGATTTTTGGATCATCAATTAGAACTGTAGGTAATCTAAAATCCTGATATATTGAACGCCAGTGATGTTTAGATTTTGAGGACTAGTAAATAGCCTAAGGCTTTGGATTTATACATTGTAGTTATGGAATACTTACTGTTGCATTTGAGTTTTTTTGGGGCTTTTAAGGATGTTTAGATTGCTATCTGTTGCTAAAATTGTACTGTAAAATGTGATTTATTATACCACATCAACGAGTTTATTTTAGTGAAATATTAATACTGTTTTCCAACCCACAGACTTCTTTACTTTTGTTCATAAGTATGGTGGAATTTATGACTCTTCTTTCTGAAATAGAAACTTTATAGTGAGTGATAAATGGAATTAGAGGGCTTTAAATGGGACATTCTTAGGGCTCCAAACCTGACCAACTCCTAGAAATAGCATCAGGAATAATATTTCTCTTGATCAAGATACCAGCTCTACCAAAAACAAAGGCTATTTAAAATTAAACTGTTACTAGGGGTCTCGTCTGCTGAATACTCTGTTTGTGAGGAGTGCATTGGAGAAAATCTGTAGTATCCATTGTTACCTTGTTCTGATGGGGAAACTGCACTTTCCCAAAATCTGTATGGGATTTCTAGTGGATCCGTCATCAGCCTCCCAGCCTCTGGCTGTGCATTTCTTTCCTAGTTTGAATATGTATTTTTCTTTCTTTTCAAAATGCTAACGCAATTTTTTTGTAATAAGCTGAAGACTTTTGTCTCTAAGTATTTTTCTCCAGCCTCTGATATAACTTCTGATAGATACTTCTTTTATCTTTTCCAGTTTTCCAACCCTGTTAAAATGTGGGCTCTAGGACTGTGGCCAGTATTCCAGTGTCTTACCAGGAGACTTACTGTCTCTCCTCTACTCTCCCTCCCTTGTTCGTAAATTAAAAAAAAAAAAAATCTTTTTTACCAAAGTACTGCACTGACAACTAGTAGTGAGTGGCTTCTTAGCAGATTCTCTTGAGTTGTTACTTATGCTGCTGTCATGGTCGCTCATTATTCTGTAGGGATGGCCTGGATTCCTTTATCCTAGCTAAATCTTTTTGCATTTAACCGTGTTTCTGTATTTGCTTCCTTGACAAGTCTGTCTTCTCAATCCAGATGACAGTCTTTCTGCTTAGTATTTTAACCAACTATTTATAAAAAAATTATCGGTGATAAAGCTGTTATTGGTGATGATGCAAATACTACTGGAAGAGTAATGTGGACTTTAGTAAAACTTTACCTACAGATGTTCTCAGGTTTGCTTCTCCATGGATTGGGGTTTTTTCTGTAGTTAGTTCTTTAATCCATGTGATGTATTCTATTGGCATTGCATAAAACTAAGTTTTTAATTAATGTCATGGTAGCATGTCTCCTTTAAAATGATGATACATTAATTTTGTCTGGTTACTTTTTTCAATGATGTACTTAATCTCAAAGCCTATGTAATATATTCTTAAACATTGTATGAAACAGTTGTGACTGGCTGTATTAAAACTAATTTTCTGTACTTTAATTTTGTATTTGTTGAACCCTGAAACAGCTTTTCCATTATTTTATCTGGGATTTAAGTCAAGATAACTAGTTCTATTGCATAGTCCTGTATCTCTGTGTATCCCACAACACTTCTTTCTGTAAATATAATGGTTATGACACCGTTACTTTTAATTTGTTCTTATTTTAACAAAACTTCTAATGTAGTATTTGACTTCATAACCAAAATTTATAGTTCTTATAGTTAAGACAGTGTCAATGTGATAGATGAAGCATTATCTTCCAGAAACCTTAACAGCATTAGTTTAGGATTTGTTTAATTTAAAGTCATCTGTTTGGATGTTTGTTAAATAGGAAGCCAACAATATTATATTTTAAATGTTTCATCTGAAAGCATTAGAAAATATCATATTAATGAAACCTCAGCTTTTGTGTGGAAAAAAAAATGTCAGAAAGAGGTAAATACAGATAGGAAATAACTTTTTTTTTGGGGGGGGGCAATAGGGAAATATTTGGAAATAGTTGACATATCAACCCTAGTTCACTGATCTCCAAGTTCATTAAAGGTGAAGCACGAAGATTATGGCAAGCACTGGTGTTGAAAATGACCGGTTTGAGAGAAGGAACACAGGTCACTATAACAAGTAATTGTATAGAGGGATTGAGGCATAAGTTGTGGAGAAGAGGAGAGAGAGGGAAGGAGAGGAAAAGCCTGGTCTGCCCTCGTGCTATGGGTGACAGCACAGTGTTAATAGTAGTGGCTATAGGTGGAACGTTCTGTGATTAAAAAGTGCCTCCCCAATGGAAAAGCTTTCATAATTTGCTTGAAAAAAAATGGAGCAATGCAATGTTTAATTTTATAAAATAATCTCTAATACCATAGAGTTTAACCGAACTCGCATGTTTGCAAATACTTGATGTATGGGATGGGTAAGTAATGAGAAGTTGTACAAGGTAGCGAAAAAAGGCAATTATAAATTAAGAAAGGGAGTGGATAAGCAAGATGTTAGCATTAATTGTTACTGGGCATGGGAATAATTTGTCACTAGAAGTGATAAAAATGGTTGGAATTTTGGGATGCTTTAAAATAAAAGAAAGCTTAATATGTTGAAGAACAGTTGTATGTACAAGGAGATGGGACTTTGCAGCATAATGGGTCTCTCCTTTATTAATACCTTTGGCTTCTTTAAACTATTTTTAAACGTGAGCAAATTGAGATGTATTTTAATTTTGAAGCTGAAGCGTTTGGTATGGTCTGGTGGGATTTACAACCCTTGCAGCCTGATGGCTGATAAGGAAGGGAAAGGAGTGCCTTGCATTGGTTATACAAATAGTGGTAAACAGAAGAAACATTTAAAGAGAGGACCAAGGAGAAAAACAGTGAAAAATAGATGTGAGAAAATAGGATAGGAATAAGCTAGATGGGGGCACACTGAAGAGAAGGCAGGAAGTGGGTAGACTACAGACTGAAAGAGAGAAACAAGTCCTCCCTCTGGAAAGTTTGCCAGACCCAAGCAAATGATACAGAAAAGACAATCTGCA